GATGGCTATATATATATATATATATATATATATATATATACACGATAAAAAATATATTTAATGTGTAAATAGTAAAACTATATTATTATACCAACAAAAAAATTATATAGAAAAACTTTCACAAGAACATTAACTTTTTAACACTTATTTTTCTATTTATGCTCGTTTTATATTTGCATGCATTTTTTTTCTCTTATCATACATCTCATCATATCTTTATAATTTAAAAGATAGTTAGAAGAATTTTTTGAATATATAAAAAAGTAATTTACAACTTTATTATAAGTTTTTTAAGTATAAAAAAAAATCTCATTTAATAAGACTGCCTCCGGCGGCTCGGTGCTAGTTTAGTAGTTTTCATGGGTTTAAGTGAAATCTAATAAAAAAAATTAAAAATAAAATAAAATAAAGTACCAAAGACACGTCATTGGATTCAATTAATCATTGTTGCATTATTCTATTGCTTACTTTGTAATACTGTGAGCTGTTCTTGATAGCAAGAAATAGAAACATTGTTCTCTTTTTCCCTCCCAATCTTCAACCAACACAAATACACATAAGCACCAATTTATCACACCCTTTCCATTGCGTGGATTTGTTTCCAATCTTCACCTGCCCTTACTTAATTTCCATCCTCTCCCGATCTGGCAAATTCCAACAAAACCTCCATCATATTAACTTCAATTTCTATAACTTAGTCCACACACTCTCACCAAACCAAACACATGATCCATTATTTTTTTGATTAACTTGTCTTTTATCATTTTCCTCACTCAACCACTCAAATCCACACATGAAAAGAGAGAGACGCAAGAAAATGACCACTTTCTTGCATGTCTGTCTGTAAAACAATATAAACAAATCCATCCAGCAACTCTACCTAGCTAACTGCTTCTAGCTCATTCCTTGGTCAAAGTTGAGTGCAATTATTCAAGCAACTTTGTGCTCCTCAAGAAAACCACTCACCTTCTTTCCCTGAAAGAAAGGAAGTTTTATTAATGCCACCATTCTCCGTTACACTTCACATTCTCTTTAATTAGAATATGATGCAAACAAAACCTTATCACTTCCCATGACAACTTGATCATCAAACCTTCACTCTTTACATCCCATCAATGGATGGGCTTCTAAAGTCCCAAATTCCTCTTAATGATCGTTCCCTCATTGCTCTCTTCAAATCATCACCTTCTTCTTCGTCCTTGTCTTCTTCTTCGACCGTCAAAGAAGTCCTTCATTCCTCGTCCCTGGTTCAAACCAGGTACGAGGTTTCTAACGATGTAGCAGACTTGAGTTCGGAACAAAAACAAAAATGTTCTCACATAATAGAAAATGGAGCAATTCAAGGTGTGAGGTTCATCAATGGCATTGTTGGTCAGAGTGGAATGGAGTGGAAGGATGTGGAGAACCGGTTCGACCAACTTGGTCGAACCGGTTCTGGAGCCGAACCGGTTGTGGCATGGTCCGAATTTGGCTCCTGCGTTGGTGAGAATAGGAAACTAAAGTCAGCAGTTCATGCAACATTATCACTTTGTTTCACGACCACAAATACAATAATTCATAATGCATTAATGCATGATGTTCTTTGAGACATTGATAAGTCCTTTTCTATGTCTCTTCTGTTTATCATCTGGCACTGGTCAATTAACTCGAGAATCATATCGAGCAGAGTAGTTAGCCACCTTAGCCATGTTCTTCGGATACGCTATAGTGCCGTAATATAAGACAACTTGTGTCATTTTTATTATTCATCTCCCTACTTAATTTATTTCAATGATCAATGTTCAACACTTTATTTCTCATTTTTTTAATAATAACAAAAGACCAAATACGTTATCTATACCTACCTGTTCTTAAATAATTCTGATCTTATTCTGCAAATTATTGTCTTAATTTTTCACTCTCAATTATGTCCTATTTTATAGGGATGCAGTCATCACCCGAGTTTGCCAATGAATTGCTAAGAGCGTTGAGAGGAGGCAAGCATTGGAAATCCAATATCACCAAAACTGATTTGTACAATCTTTGGTTTCGGATGAAGGACAATTCTTTTAACTCGAGATTGCGAATCTTCTTTGACATGTAAAAACCAAAAAAAAAAAAAAGAAGAAAAAAAAAACCTCTGCTAAACTCTCTTATGCACAATTCTGAGATCAAATAATAATTTTTCATTGGCTTTACTTTAGGTGTAACAGAAACAAGGACGGAAGAGTCACCGAAACAGATATAAAACAGGTTATTATTTATTTAATGAAGTTTAATTTATAATTAACTTTACTAGCTAGGGTGTGGTGAGGCTGCTTAAATTTGCATGTGTTAATTGTCTTGTTCCGCATGTTGGCGTTGATTTTGGCCCTTCTTCCACAGAAAAACTCTATGATGTGTGGTTCCATAATTAATTGTAGGTGCTGTGTATACAAACCGTCAATTATAATTGGCATATTTCTGGATGCAAATGTTTGTTGTGATTGTGATTATTTTGTACCTTAAACAGACAATTTTATTAACCGCTTCTACAAATAAGCTATCCGTGACACATGATGAAGCAGAGGACTATGCCTCTTTGATCATGGAATCTCTCGACAAGAAAAAGAAAGGCTACATTGAGGTACCAATTAAGCCTCAACCTCCCCATTACCACATGGTCACCCTATTCCATATTTTATTAAACTAAATAGAAAGATTCGTCGTCATATGTAGACATCTCAAATGGGGTCTCTATTCAAGGCAAGTCTATCAAAGGCACATTCTCCAATGAAACAAGTAGCAGCAACAGGAAGCAGCATACAGAATGTTCACAAGACTAATGGTGGTGACTTTTGTGATGAAGAAGAAGAACCAATGTCATGGACGGAAGTGTTGTTCAGAACGTACTGGAGACGTTGTTGGGTTGTTCTACTTTGGGTGCTTGCATGTTTGGGGTTATTTGTGTGGAAATTTGTCCAGTATAGCCATAGATCAGGGTTTGAAGTCATGGGTTATTGCCTTCCCACTGCTAAAGGTGCAGCTGAGACGTTAAAACTCAACATGGCTCTCGTTCTTCTTCCGGTTTGTAGAAACACAATCACGTGGCTCCGCAAACACCGTCCCATCAACTCTGTCATTCCATTCAATGACAACATTAACTTCCACAAGGTACCCTCTCTAATTGTTCCTTCATTTCATTTAACTTGTTCATAACACATTTCTTGGAACCCGAACTGAGAAATTCTTGTATGAATTGGAATATCGTGTGTTTATGGTTCCAAATAATGGATAAAGCTTATATGTAGTATCTTAAGTATTGTTCGCCCTGTTCTACAATTAGAATCAAAGCTTCACTTCACTAATATATAGGTAAAACTCAAATTTTAACATGAAAACAATATCAACAATACTTTTAATATCATAATTTAGTGTTATTTTTTCTATAATAATCTACTTAGATATAAATTTTAGAACGTTTTTGAAAATTTCTTTATTATAAAATATATATATTTTTTATATTTTTAATAAAAAAACTTTTAACTTATATCTAATAAAATTCCAAGTATATTTAGTATTGCCTTTCAATCAAAATTAAAATAGTCCATATAATGAATTTCATTAAATGCCAATGTGTTCGATTCTTATGGGAGAATAATATGTGGAGTAACTATAGTACTGCATCTAAGTTGTCCATCAAACGTGTTTACAATATAGTTAGCAGATGACTGAATTTGTTAAACAAAAAAATGATAGACTCCATTTTTCTTTCTACTATTGGTACATAGCAAAGCACATTGTAAGAATGATGTGGAAAAACAAAGATGATGCCATTAGTAGTTTAATTTAGCGGACGTACTATGCAGTTGATTGCAGGAGGAATAGTGGTGGGAGTGATATTGCACGGTGGGACGCACCTGGCGTGTGATTTTCCGAGAATTAGTGAGTCAGACAGATCGATATTCCGGCAAACGATTGCGGCGGGGTTCGGTTACCACCGGCCGACGTACGTGGAATTATTGGCCACGACGGAGGTGACGAGTGGGATAGGCATGGTGGTGTTAATGGGCGTCGCATTTCCGCTGGCGACGAAGTGGCCAAGGCGTCGGTCACCGGTGCTGCCGGTGTCCCTCCGACGTGTCACCGGATACAACACCTTTTGGTATTCCCACCATTTGTTTGTCCTCGTCTATGCCTTGCTCATCATTCACTCCATGTTCTTGTTCCTTACCGACAAGTTGATGGAGAAAACGGTAACCCTTTTTTCATCACTTTTTCCATCCTTGTTTCTTCTGTGTTTTTTACTTTCTCGTGATTTTTGGCGTCATTTCACTGCCTTGCTGCGTTAATATAACAATAGAGTAAAGTGAATGTGAATGTTTATTCTTCTTTTTTTTACTAATAACGGTTAATAAAAAAAACACCCACTCACTCATTCAAGTCTAGTTTTCTATTGGGAAGACATGGACAGCCACGTATGAGACTCGTTTTGTCGAATTCTATTACTGTGTGTCTCTTGTAACATGTATTATATATTATGTCAGTTTTTTTCTCTCAAAAAATATTAAAAAATGTGGCATTATGAACCTACCAGAAACAGTTGTTTAGCACTTACCAGAAAAATGTGGCATTGAGAATGTTCAAGACTGAATTATTGACTCTTCTGCATTATTTGAACTCCTTGCCACTACTTTATTCCGAGTTGTTCATTGTTGTGATTAAGACGGTAGCAAAAGTTACTAGAAAGCTCTTTAATTTAAAAAATTATAGAACAAATTTTGGTGTAGAATTTTAATTTCTATTTAATTTTCCATGTGCAGACATGGATGTACATTGCTTTTCCAGTTTTGTTATACGCCGGAGAAAGGATCTTTCGAGCCATTAGATCTGGATCTTACGAAGTTGATATTTTGAAGGTATTTGATCAGCTTTTCTATATATTCAACTGTTTGTAAAATATGTGGGTTTAAAGTTTCTGTTGATAAATTTTCTAGTAAAAAAATTTGAAATTTTAATTTTAATTCTAATTTTAAATTGATTTATTCAAACAAGACATTTAAAGAATAATAAAATTAAAATCAAATAACTTAAATTTTTTGAAGTTTTAAAATTTCTCTTCCAAACTCAATAATAGATAATATTTAATAATTTTAAAAAATATTTTTTAAATATTCAATAACTAAGAAATAAGAGAGATAAAAGATATACAAATAAAATAAGAAATAAAAATACGAATAATTTTAAATTCTTATTTTTTTTGAATAACATATACAAGATTTTAAATTCAAATCCTGATATTATTAGTGTAATTCCAATGAAAAAAATTCTTAATTATTTTTAAAAAAAATTGAAATTATATTATTTTAAGAAATTTTATAAATACTTAAATTTTAAAAAAAAATTATTCCATTTAAATTTTTTATTGAAACACAGTATTATTTCTTTTCTCAAGGATATTTATTATCTTATCCTTTTCTTTTTCTTATATAGGCAAGTCTATATCCAGGAAAAGTTTTGTACCTCAAAATTCAAAAACCAGAAGGTTTTAAGTTCCAAAGTGGCATGTATATATTCCTTCAGTGCCCCCAAATTTCGCCCTTTGAATGGTACTTCTGCTTCCTTCATGCGACCATTTTTATTTACAATTAATTCAATTCATTATTCCAATTTTTGTGTTGTCCAGTTGGTCAATCAATATCGATGTTCTATTTGAGTTTCTTTTGTCTAAATTTTCAGGCATCCGTTTTCCTTGACTTCAGGACCACGAGATGATTACCTCAGTGTGCACATTAGAACACTCGGAGACTGGAGCTACCAAATATATGCTCTATTCCAAGAGGTGAAAATAGAAAATTTTAAGTGCAAAATTGTGCTTTTTGGAATTCTTTGGCCTGAAAATTTGTCCGCAATCTGCAGGCGGTGTTATCACGATCACAAGGGTGTCCAAAACTGTACATAGATGGCCCTTATGGCTCTGCTGCTCAAGACCATGTAAAGTATGACATTCTGGTACTAATTGGTCTTGGCATAGGAGCCACACCTTTCATTAGCATCCTTAAAGATGTAGTTAAAAGTGTCCAGACAACGCAAATTGATGATGTAAGATTTTCTATTGTGTTATTTATTTGAGTATTTTCTTTCTATGATAAATGTCTTCACTAAAATTCAATTGCTCTGCTTCTGTCTCATTAAACAAATGCCACATTTTGGGCATTCGAAATAGAGTGGTCTCAGAAAATGCAGCTTAACAAAGGGTCCATTAAAAGCATATCTTTATTGGGTTACAAGAGAGCCAAACTCTTTTGACTGGTTTAGAGATGTCATGAAGGAAATCTCAAATTCAACCAAAAAGCAGGTATGCCTAACTACAATTTGTTTGGAAAAAGTACTGTGTCAGCACAACTATATCTTTCTTTTATTATAAATGTGCAATTAAAATCTTCAAGGATTTTTCTTAACTATCTAATTTTCTGATAATCTTTAAGTCGGTTGTGGAGATGCACAATTTCCTGACCAGTGTACATCCAGAAGGAGATATTCGTTCAGCTTTGCTAAGTGTGATTCAGGCCTTGCATTTTGCCAAGAATGGCACTGACATAGTTTCCAGGACTCCAGTAAGTGCATCTTCTCTTTAGTTTTAGTCAATATATGTAGCCAAAATATATGAATTACAAGCAACCTTTAAATTTAGAGTAGTGGCGTTAAAGAAAATCATACAAGATAGTTTAGGCTTGATGCCTTCTGGTTGAAGTTAGATTACGTTATTGTCATTTTGCTATATATCAAGTTTGGCATAACAAAACAACATTCTTCAATCTGTCATTTCAAACCATGTTATTAACTGCTCCAACTTAAAGTCGCTTGGAAGAATCTTAACAAATACATGTCAGCCAAAATATTTTTTTTTAAATAAATGAATCATTCGTGTCTGGTCAAGACTGCACATATGTTTTGTTGTTGTTTGATTAAAAAAATATTTCTCCATCCAAAATTTTCAGATACACACGCATTTTGCTCGACCAAATTGGTTCAACATATTTTCTAGATTGGCTCGCAAGCATGGAGGAGCTAAGATTGGTGAGAAAAAAATTCCCTCGTGATTCAAGATTTTTATTTCTTTTAATGAAACTCGTTACTTAATTGTATAAATTCCCAACTTTGTATCTTATTTAATCATTGAAATAGGCATGCTTAATTTAAAGGCTAAAGTTTTACCCAACCCCCCTATCTCTATATATTTATATTATATAAGAAAATAAGAGGTTAAATTGTTTTCCTAACTAGGGATATGAGTTTTCTCTTACAGGGGTTTTCTATTGCGGCCCATCTAAATTAGCAAGAGAGTTGAAGAAGTTATGCACCAAATTTTCCACCAAAACCACAACTAGATTTGTTTTCCACAAGGAAAACTATTAAACTTGTTTCTGAAGCAACGATAACCAATTCCTTAATTAGGAAACCAGGGTTACCTTAAGAATCTTGGGCAGTTTCCTTTTATTTCGCCAGAGAATCTGTATATATATTTGCTGCTCTGGTGTCTCATACATACCAACTTTAAGGAGTGGTTCAGCAATTGACAAAATGAAAGATAATACGTCAGTCACATTGATCGTTGTAACTTGTAAGTTGAGTATCTATCCATGTTATTTCTGTATTTCCTATACACCTCAGGTAGCAAACCATACTTTTAGGAGAAGTATAAATGATGAATAAATTTTAATAAGTACGACAGTGACTATTCTATTTATTACAACCATACTTTGTAATTATCAGTTCTTTACTTTAAATTTTAATCTAGGCCCATTTTTTTTTTTATATTACGATTCTCCCTTATTTTAGGACAGCAAACTTTATACACTGAGCTAAAGAACAATTCTTGAACAATTTAAAAGGGTATCCGTTTAACTTGTCAATAAACTGTGGATTTTGAATGTACATTTAGCTAATAACTAGTAGAAAGTAATACAACCAACCATCAAACAGACTATTTCTCAATATGCGCAAATCCTTAAGAAAATCTATTGTATGACTAAATAGCAGAAAACTATGAATTTTCAACAGATTCAAATTGGATAAAAAGAAAACTCAGGCTTGTGGTTTCATATTTCCATTCATAGAAATGAAAGCTGCGCATAGAAATAGAAATGAAAGGCGCCAAAGAAAAATAATATATCTCAACATCAAAACGCATCATTACAGGAATATTCAATCACCAGAAAATGCCAAAAAAATGTTTTAAAGGAGGAGTTCTTTTTTTGCACCAAAAGAAGGAGTTAAAAGTAAACAAATATATAATTATACTTAATAACAAAATTATATTTTTTTCTTATAAGAAAATTAAAATCTGTACAAATTTTTTTTAAAGTAAAATTGAGTAGGGATGGGTTGGACTTATCAAATAGTACCCCTATCTATATTCATTCATCCCTGCATAAGATGGGAACACACACAGTAAAAAATAGAACATATATCAGCTGCAAATCCTAAACCATGTTGTTAATGCAAAATAATGATTTTTTTTTTTTTTTGTTTTACTACACCTGTTTTCGCCCTGTGTTGTTGCCTTTGCTATAATTCAATTACTCGTGTGACTGAACGAAATCATTTATGGGTCGCTCTAAATCTAGTACACCATTTTATCATCAGTTCTTCAACACTGGCATCCATTCGAGTACCAACACCACCCCATACAAGCATGTGGCGAACATCCCCAACCGATGATCCAGTAACTTCGTACACAGGTTTAAACCCAAGTCTTGTGTAGAACCGAACCAACTGTCAAAACAACATCCAATTGAACCTTTCTAGTCCCATCCCCATGGCCGCATGATAGCTTATGAAATAAGATCATTGATAACTTTAAGTTAAGTAAACAATTATTTTGGTATCTAAAAAAACACTCTCAAATTAGTTCATGTAACTAATAAAATTCAAATGATTTTTTTTACGGCATGTCAAATAAAGACTTAAAATGTCAATTATAAGTTCTTAAATTTGACTGTTTATTGTCATTTTAATTCCTTATTAGTACTTTCATAAACTTATTTAATATTTTCTCAATGTTAAGAACTAATATAAGACTGTCTTTCAAGTTTAGGTTCAAATGATCATTTACTAATTATTATAAATTAAAGAGTAAACAGTCAGTTTGATTTTGATAATCGATAAAAGACACTCTTGTATCAATAAACCCTAAAAGGCTAAAACTAATAAATTGTAAATAAGTTCTGAAAGTGTAATTACATTAATTTAAAAGTAAAAATATATATAACTAAAGTAATAATATTGATATATTTTTATAAATAAATAAAAAACTAATTTTTTTTTTAATTTAAAAACTTATTTAACACTATAATGATTTACAATTTCTTAGTTTAAGAAATTAATACGAAATTAGCTTCCAAATTTAAGACAAAACTAGGTGTTTTCTGGATTAAAATAAAGCCTACGTACCCCAAAAAAATAAATAAAAAATAAAAGGTGGGAAATTTAGATAAGATTGGTGAGAATAGAACCTTAGAATGGTAAAGATGGGAATCATTGATGGCCAATAGCTGAGCCGTTTTGCATCCAGAATCATATCCATGTCGAATTGCAAGGGCTCCGATGAACAAGCCAAGGCCAAAGATTGATTTCTCCATGCCCAGTGTTTCTCTGCGTAGTTTGATGGAGTCCAAGTGAAGGATTCTTCCTCCCACCCACAATCTTATAAACCCTTCGGCCCTTCCGAGCTCTTTCTCGGTTATCAAGCTCCTTGCCGTGATTCGGAAAAAGGGTCCCACAGTTTTGAGGTTGAGGTCCAGTTTCTGCGCTCGCGATGCTTCTAGAATGTCCGACATGGTTGGCATAAGAACATGGTTGCTAGCATTTGGAGTCGCGCGTGGGAATCGGGTTTGTCGAAGGGAGAGTGGGATTGAAGTGAGAGGGTGTGAAATTGGAAGAGGAAGTTGAGTTGTGGGGTGCAGTGCGTTGTGGAATGAATTCATACCTGAGGAACCCCAAAGGATATTTTCTTTATGGAGGGAAGAGAAATAAAACGGGAAAGGAAAATATTGATGCGGTAGCGACTTGAGAGTAATGGAAAAGATAACTTGAAACAGCTTCTTGTTTATTTAATCAAAATAACTTATACATTAATAATATGAAAATATTTTATACTGTCATTTAATCAAAATTTGTTACATACAATAAATATTTTTTTTATATAAAATACTTTAAAAAAAATCTTATATATATATATATATAATTATTTGTAATTAATTGACGATGTAAAATAATTTTACACTAATAATACATAATTATTTAAAATGTTAGACTAATGAACTCAATACAAATAAAACCAAATAAAATGTGACATGAAATAAACACAAATGAATAACCCAATCACGTGAAAGAAAGATCCCGTTACATGGTGCAGTAATGGTGGTGAGTTGTGAAAAATAGCCATTACAGGATGTGGGAACAAAACAGGTTCACGACACAATAGGGAAAGGTGACTTGGTGAAGTCGTGTGACATAAATGAAGGTATTAATTTGTGATTTGGTGGCTTTTTGAGCCATGTGGGAAAACTTACTACTAATTTAGACTGTTTTGAAACTTGAATAATTAATATCAGATGTTGTTAGTCAATCCAATAATACTTATGTTGTGTCATTGTTTTTTATTTTTTTTGTTTAAGTGACTCTAAAAAAAGACATATAATACCAAACTTTAGTGTTATTAGAGTCAATTGTGAGATGATATATTTGGCAACAAACTCCAACACTTTTTTTTTTTATTTGCCTCCTAACAATCCATTGCAAGATGTGTTAATTTTTTTTTTCTCAAAAGCGGTGCAAGAGCTTGTTGTGATAATTTTTTTTTAATTTTTTTTATAAATGTGAGGCTTTGTGTTGTTGCGGCACATTTTTTTTTACAATAAAAGTTATTTATTATAAGTTTCATCCTTTATAATGTCAATGGACTTTGGTTAACTAAATGGTGAATGAGGGTGAACAAAAAATAGGTACTAATGGGAAGCATACTAGTAAGAAAGATGCAGTAAATAGAAACAATGCTAGTCTCACATCTAATGAAAAGGAGTCTCAAGATACAGTGGATATACCCTTTCAATTTTGAATCTCTTACTGCATCTTTTGAATTTTATTGTGTTCATTAATTATGACTTTGATATGTTACAATACGATAAGCCATAATTATATATGTGTGATTAGAACATTTGCAATGGGGTTGTTTATAAGAGTACCTTCAGCAGCACGTTCTTAGTGTGTTGCTTACTGACAAGTAACGGTGTTTGTTAGAAATTACCATTGGACTTATCCTACGTGGCAACTCAGTTGCTTATATTTTTTTCACAATTGCTTCTACAAGCAATGGAGCTTACTGACAAAAACAATTTCATTGGTTGAAATTCATCTACGTAGACCACATTTATGAAAAGGAAAAACAGAAAAAACCATGCACCTCCTGTTCGTTCGTCCGGGGAGGTTTGGCAACGCCGGCCCGTGTCGCCAGTGGCCATTCGCGCGTCACCGGTCGCGCGTCGCCGGTCGCGTGTCTCCAGCAAGTCCCGTACACCCGACGCGCGGCTCAACCAGTTCCGACGGCCCGCTGGAGAACAACCTCCGCCCAGCATGTGAACCGCCTCCACCCCGCACCAGAACCCTCTGGCGGAACCACCCGTTCGCCACCCCTCCGCCCCCCGTGGAGGAGCAGTGTCCAGTGGAGGAGGTGGCGCTGGTGGTGCCGGAGACCGACGACCCTTCATTTTCGATGATGACTTTCCGGGCATGGTTTCTGGGAATAGCCTCGTGCGTGCTTCTCATCTTCCTGAACACGTTCTTCACCTTCAGGATGCAGCCTCTCACCATCTCCGCCATTCTCATGCAAATCGCGGTTCTTCCCATAGGGAGGTTCATGGTCGCGACTCTTCCCACCAGAGAGTACGCTTCTATTATGTAATTTTTTTTTATTATTGAAATATGAGTTGTAAAAAAATTGAAGTATCAAAAAGTATAATATGAGTTGTAAAAAAGTTGAGGTCTTATAAGCAATTTCCATTGGAGCAAAAGTTATAAAAATATAGTATGAGTTGCTTATGAGTGACGTGGCACAGTGAGACCCATTTAAAGTGGTTGGGAGTTGCTTATAAGCAACTCCCATTGTAGATGCTCTAAGCAACCCATAAAGTGGGCCATAGCTGATTTGGCAGTGATGTTGCATAGGGATTGCTTATAAGCAACTCCCATTAGAGATGCTCTTACATCATTCGTCATTATATTGTTTTCTCAAGAAGTTTAAAACTTCAAATTTAACGTTGCTGATAATTGTGACACCCAATTACATTAAACAATTAAAAAAAATACTAGTACATGTTAAATTTATTTAATTAATTACAGCTAAATTAAAATAATAATCTTAGTTTGATATTGTTATTATAAATATTATTTCAAAGAAAAAAGTATTATTAAGAAGTTAATTTATAGCACAGTATTATGAAATTAAAATAATAATAAATATTATATAAGAATAAACATAAACACATGATTAGTTAAGTGATATACTATCACAAATATATTCTTAGATCATTAATTTGAACTCATCAATGTAAGGAGTTTTTCAAAAAAAAAATGACCTTTCTACTTGAAGACATCAAAAAGAAATACACGTAAAAAAAAAGTTTTTTACTATCCCACAATAAACAAACAAATATAAGGACAATTATGTTAGAGTAGTTGTCGTAACCGGAATCACGACGGGATGACGCTAACATTTTTATATTCAGTGGAGCCGCCACCAATATTTTATTTCAAGGGAAAAACATTGGAAAACCCTTTAAAAGATAATCTTTAAAATTAAAGTTGGGTTCGGGAGTCGATTACGTGTAGG